ATCGAGGACGAGAGGAGCTCCCGACTCCAGCGTGGGCTGCACAAACAAATCTATCGCGACCTGAATTAAAGCCTCAAGGTCGGCTGAGCTCAGGTCGGCAAAAGACAGGTCGGCACAGCGTGCTACGATAGATCTTGCAGAAGCCGGGATATTCACTCGGGCCAATACGTTCATCTCCTGGGCAGCCTGAAACAAAAGTGTTAGAGTATGAAGGAACAAAATGAACAAAATGGGCGACGGCCAGTTCCATACCCTGAAAGGAAAATATTAAGCATAGGGAAAGGGAAAAAAGTCAGAAGGCAAATGAGAAAGAGAACTAACCGGACCCCTTGGGGCAAAATTTCCTGAAACCTCGCCCGACTTAGAGGAAGAGATCTCCTTTATGTCTTGAGGTGGTGGGATCAATTGGACTGGTGGGAGAGCGGCAGGAGGATCCTCACCCATGGGCTGGGCGGCTGGCTGCAAGGGCAGCGCAGTGATCTGGTCGGGCAGTACCGCGACTTGGTCAGGCAAAACCACGACCTGGTCGGGCAATGCAACAATTTGATCGGGCACCGCCGCGACCACATCAGGTTCCTGATTGAAAATAATGATACATCAGTTAGATATTTGTAAAAGAATCATATGGAAATATCTTGGGAGTTACGTGTGATGGTTGAGGAGCAGTTGAAGGCAAAAGCGGAGGAGAAGTCTGCCTCCTTGTCGGTTCCTCTGGCCGACGGATCATTGGAAGCTCCCCTTCTGCAGAAATAGGGGTCGGTTGAGGGACAACCGATGGGGAACTGGGGTTGTCCTATAAAAAGGAGAATCGAAGTCAGTAAAAATTTAGTAAGTATTTCCCTTGGAGGTATTAAGGAAATAACTTACTTCGGCCGACAGATTTTGGACGTTTGGTTGGTCAGCTGGGGTCGGTAATACGGTCATCGGTTGGTTGGCAGTCGGAGTAGAAGTTGATGAGAATAACTGCCTCATTGTCGGGTCCTTTCCCTAACGGGTCACTGGCAGTCCCGCGGATGGAGCAGCGGTCGGTTGGTTTGTGGTTGGGACTGCGGCTGACGGAGAAGAAGTCAGAGTAACGGACGGTTGAGCCGCGGTCGTTTGAGGGTCGGTTGGCTGGGCTGCAGTCGGTTGAGTAGCGGTCGGCTGAGGGTCGGTCGGCTGGGCCGCAGTCGGTTGAGAAATGGTCGGAACAGTAGTCAGTGGTGGCGAAGGGGTCTCTGAAATAGAAATGATTCAAGTGAAAAAGGGCACATATTTAGAAAAGGAAACATTTGAGAAGGCAAGAACTCACCAAATTGCTCTCTTAAGTATTTAGGCAGCCCACTCGTATCTACTGGCAGAGATGTCAGGTACTCCTCGATTGCTTGTCTATCAATGGCAGGGGCGGCTTTCTGTTTTTTCTTTTTTGCTCCAGATCCGCCTTTGGCAGACGCCGGTCTCTTCCTTCTAGGAGCATAGACCAATCGGGGAGAACCCAACGCCAGTGTTGGGAGCGGGAGTTTTTTTCCGACCAATTGGTCGGTTAGAGGAGCAATCAGAGGCCAGGTGCCCGACCACCAGGTCAGGAAAGCCTCAGCCGATGAGGGTTTAGGACGGAAAGGTAAGTAAGAGTTGCAGGTAATGTAGTCAGTGAGTTGGGAAAGGTAGGTCGGGATGAGCTCGGGGATCACCAGCCCTTCTGGACTTTGAGGTATAAGGTGAGGTCGGGCTAGTGGTCCCGGCAGACCCTGACAGCAACCGAACTGTCGGGCCAAAAATTGAGGATGATAATTAAAGGTATAAAATGATCTATAATTTTTCTTATCCGACCTCTTACTGGAAAATAGAGATCGGGGTTTCATGGCGGAATCCCAGGAAAAGGGATAGGTCGGATGGGGAAGAGGATCAGGATGCGATCGGGGATAAGGTGTATCGGGGTAAAGCCAAAAGAGCTCAGTAGTATACTGTACAAAGGTTTCATATACATAAAAGCGAGAATTCCTACGGTCTTCGGTCAAAATTTGAGTAATAACAGGATCAGATGGATGAAGATTAGAAGAACTGGGGGTTAATTTAGCTAAGGCAAGACCAATCGACCTTTGAGGGTTTGGGGTAATAGGCAATTAGCCAAAAAATGCGGTCGGGAAATATAGGCGAAGCCACAGCTCCAGGAACCAAAATGGTCCCGAAGCAGCTGTGTCCGCCCTCTTGGTATCGCTCAGGCGGGTGCTTACTCGGGATAAACCCTCAAAAAGGTTAGCCAAAAATAAGGTTCCTAAAAAGAAAAATTGGTTGCTGGCCAAATGAATGGCCAGATCGACCTGGGAAGAAAGAACGAGTTTGGAGGGGAGAGAATGATATATCTGTAAAAAGAAGAAATCCAACTAAAAACCCAACTTTGAATTTACATAAAAAGCGTAAGGAAAAGAAACTATACCTGCACAGCCAAAAAAAAAGGAACGCTGTGTGTTCCAACTCAGAGACAGGGGTGCCTTCTTCACCCAGGAACTTGGTGACGAAACTGGTCCAACCCCTATCCTTTTCGGAAAGTTTGGCGAGGGCCCAACTAGCGTGGTCAGGCCAAGGTTCCCGACCTTCGAAGGAGACCAGGACAGGGTCATCGCCCACTATGGGTAAGTGGGCAATGATGGCCACGTCCATGAGGGTAGGACCAATGGGGCCAGAAGGGATGAAGAAGACTCCCATCTGGGGCCAAAAGGCAGCCATTGCCAGCAGGGCCTTGTCGTGGAGATGGAGGGGCTGAGTCAAAAGGAGAATGGCCTTGTCAATGCCTTGCCTCCTCTATTGTGCTTCGAAGTGGGGAAGGAGCCTTCGGTACCATTTGCGATAGGCGTCTTTGGGATCAGTAAGGTGAGTCCTAATACTGTCAAAGAGCCTTTCTAGTTTGAGAGCGGCATCGTTTATAGCCATTGGAGAAACTTGAGATATTACGGATCTCATGCGGTCGGCGTCTTCATTGGTGGTACAGTAAGGGCGAACGGTGGGGGTGAGAATTTTTGAAGCTACGAATGGTATCGATGGGTTAGTCCCATCGAAAGGAAGAGCTGGAATATTTTGGTTGGCCATTTGCGAAGGATATGCAGAGAACGAAGGAGAAGAAATTTCGGAGGGGGATATTTGTTGGAGAGAAGAGAATGGATTCAGGAATTTTGAGTGCGTGAGTATGGAAGAATGAGAGAAGGGTTTTACATAAACCCCATGATATGACATAAAACAGTGTAATGATAGCACTGTGCTACAAACCCCTAAACGTCACATCTCACACAGTCCGATAAGTTACGCTTAGGAGTCGGGCGGGAGGAGGCAAGTTGTTGAGTAAGGAAAACCAATGTGTAGGGTTTTCGAGATTAGGCCTATCAATTGGGCTGCGGACTGGTGTATAGTTCAATGGGCCTGTTGATGGCCGTAGAACCTTAAAATGGGTCTGAATATAAGCCCAAGCATTACTTAGAAATGAGTCTCTTCGGGAGAAAACTGTGATTAGGAGGTCGGTGAATACAGAGGTCGAGCAAAAGAGGTCCGACAAGGGAGATGGTAGGTGTTTCGGTCGGTTGGCAGTAAGGTCGGGCAAAAGGAAGTCGGGTGAAGAAAATGAGACGACTGATGCGGGGCTCGGACAAGTAGAAGGCGGGCAAGAGAAGATGTAACAGCAGGTGTGCAAGTCGGACGAAAAGCAGTTTTAAGACGGTAAGAGAAGTTACAACCGGCGAGCAGATATGAAGGCATGTCCTGGTTGTGGCAGTTGACATAGGTTTTAAATAGGTCTTTTTACGACCTAAAGAAACCATCTTCAATCGACATCAAAATCAGTGAATTTCTTTTGGGGATCATCCTTTTACTTTTACAGTCTTTAATATTTCCTTTTCAGTTTTCTTATGTACCGTACGGTGTTTAGGGATTCTTAAATCTCAGGCATTTATTTTATCAAATTCGAAGATAATTTCTATTTTTGGATTTTACTTTTTATTGTTGAAAATCGGCAACAACAATATTATTAATATTACTAATTATAAAAATTTCAACAAATATTATTATAATATTTTTATTTAATATACTAATATAAAATTAATTAGTATAGTACTCCATCCGTCCCTTTTTAAAGGGGACCTTTAGAGTTTTGTAATAGATTCATAAATAATAGTATTTTATTAGTGAGTGGAAGTGCGTAAGAGATTTTGATATTTTTGCACATTGATTTTTTGTATAAAGTAATTGTATGTGTAATGGTGTCTTTGTAATTTAAATAAAAGTTAAAGGGTATTTTAATATTAGCGTATGATTAATATTACTAAAAAAAGAAAAGAGTACTTTGAAGTGGGACGGACGAAAATAGTAAAAATAGTACTTTGAATTAAGACGAAGAGAATATATTATTATACTATAATAAAAATAATACTCCCTCCGTCCAAATATGGTGCAACATTTGTTTCCTGCACGAGAATTTAAGTGGATAGTATTAAATATGATCATTTGAGAATTAAATGATAGGATGAGAGGGAGAAATTTATTTGAGTAATGGGATGAGATAAAATGTAGAGTAAAAATTAAATATATTTAACTATTTCCTATTTTACAAATGTTAGAATAATTAGTATAAACTGAATTTCTCAAAAATAATAATGGTACATCGTCATATATATACATGAGTTTATGGGCTGGGCTATAAATATAAACATAAACATATATATATAATACATATTTCAACATCTCCCATTAAACTCAAGGTGAGACTGTATAAACCAACTTGAGTTCGCACAAGAACGACTAAAAACGGTATAGGAGATGGGGCTTGGTGAAGCCATTAGCAGTCTGATCAGCATAAGAAGTGGGAGACAAAGAGACGTTGTTTTGAGCAACGTGATGACGAACAAGGTGACAGTCAATTTCAATGTGCTTCATACACTCGTGGAAAACATCATTCGTCGAAATCTTCATGGCGCTCTAACTGTCGCAATGAACAATAGACCGGAAGACTACCGTCTCTATACTTGGACTCTGCACTAGGCAGGGGTATCGGCATGAGCTCTATACTTGGACTCCGCACTAGACCGGAAGACTACCGTCTCTTTCTTATTGCACCAAGACATAAGCGGATCTCCAAGAAAGAATAAAAAACCAGTGGTCAAATGGAAATCGATGGGATCTCCTGCCTAATCAACATCAGAATACCCAGTCAAAACTAAGGACAAACGAGCTGAATAATAAATACCATGAAAGAGAGTGACTTTGATGTACCAAAGATTCCGTAGAACAGCATAATAATGAATCGTCCGAATAGTAGACATAAACTGACTGACAACATGAACAGTATAAACAATATCAGGTGGAGTAATAGTCAGTTAGATTAGGCTTCCTACTAACTAACGATACAAGGTAGAATCACCAAGAGGGACGTCATCCATCGGAGTAAAGCGACAGTTAGAATTAAGAGGCATATGAGTCGTTTTGGAGTCAATGAGATCCGCTATGGAGAAAAGGTCAGAGGCATACTTGGCTTGAGATATACAGTATCCATCAGAGGTATTAGAGATTTCAAGACCAATGAAGTACCGAAGAGGCTCTAAGCTCTTCATTTCAAAGTGATGGTGTAGATGATCCTACAGCTCAACTATACCGGATTAATTATCTCCTGTGATAATCATGTCATCCACATAAAGAAGCAGAATAGTAACTCCACCAGACCTGCGACGAATGAAGAGACCAGTGTCATGATAGCTGGAAGTAAAGCCAAGCTGGAGCAGAGCAGAGCTAAATTTCAAAAACCAAGCATAGGGTGCCTGTTTCAAACCATACAAAGCACGGCGAAGTTTACATACCTTAGAGGACGTAGGAAAACTAGGAGGATGAGACATCTAGATGTCCTCGGAATAGATCACCATTCAAGAACGCATTATTGACATCAAGCTGATGTAGGGGCCATTGACGAGCGACAGTGATATTGATGAGACAATGGACGGAAGTGAGACGAGCAACCGGAGAAAAATTCTCCTCATAGTGGATATCATACAAGTAGGTGTAGCTTTTAGCTACCAAACGAGCCTTGTAGTGCTCAATGGATCCATCAGAGTGGATTTTGATTTGGAATACCCACTTACAATCGATAGGTTTCTTGCTAGGGGGAAGATTAACCATATCCCACGTATGGATTTTCTCCAAATCTTGTAACTCCTCAGACATAGCATGCCACCATAATGGATCCACATATGTCTCACGAAAGAACCTGGGTTCATAGTACAACAAGGTGGCAGAAAAACAATGATAATCAAGTAAATGAGTAGGGAGATGACTAACCCGTGTGGAACGAGGGGGCCAGGATCAGGGTCCGAGGTCGGAGTAGTGTCAGACTCTGGTACTAGTAAGGGATCAGTTCAAGAGTAGTAGTAGGCTCGGGGGTCAGCATCGGTTCAAAAGGCACAACCGGGATGGCGTTAGGGGCAGGAGATGGAGCTGCATCGTCGGAAGGAAATAGAGGTGATGAGGACAAGGTAAAGAAGAAAGACGAATGATCAAAGGGAACTCAAAAGTGGGATAAGGTAGAAAACTTAGTATACTCCCAAAATGTGATATGACAAAAAAAACGTAACCTATTGGACATAGGATCCCAACAACGATAACTCTTATGCTCTATCCCATATCCCAAGAAACAACACAGAAACGTGCGAGGTTTTAACTTAGTGCGCATATAGAGAGAAAGAAGAACAAAATTAACACAACCAAAAGAGTGAGGAAAACTATAATAAGGAGCTTGATTAAATAGTCTTGCAAATGAGCTGACATTACCCATGACAAAAAAAGAAGACTATTTATAGTGTAGACAACAGTAACCGGAGCTTCCCCCAAAAATAAATCCGGACAAGAAGTAGATAAAAGTAGGGTTTGGATTGTATTGAGGATATGATAAAGTTTACGATCGGCACGACCGTTTTGTGGAGAGGGTATGGACAAGAACGCTGGACAATGGTACCCTAATTAGAGAGGAAACAAAGAAAGGAAAAATTTGTATACTCAAGAGCATTATCTATACTAAGAATTTTGATGGTAGAGGAAAACTGGGTTTGTATCATTTTAGCAAATTCCATGTAAATAGAGGAGAGTTCAAAACATTGTCGTATAAATAAATCCATGTAAAGCGTGAATAGCCATTGATAAAAAGTACAAAGTGACAAAAACATTCATAGACAGTGGGAGAAGGTCTCCAAATATCAAAGTTAATTAATGAAAACGGTTTATCTGCTACGGAAGTACTATGAGGGAACGACAAAGCAGGTTGTTTCCAACGAACAATCCACACAATCAAAAGACTAAAAACTAAGAGTACCCAAAAGACCCTAACTAATCAAAGACCTGAGTACTATTTGAGGATGTATGACTTAGACGAAGATGGCACTGAAGGCATGATGGTATAGAGGTGGTGGTTGCATAATGAATTGATAGGGGGCTGAAGTGACTCAAGCTCAAATAAGCGGCCTGTCTTCCAGCCCTTCCCGAGGGTCCTCCCAGTTTGCGCATCCTGAACCTGCACACCAGAAAGATAAAAGATCACAATGAGACTTTGATAAACTAATTGACCAAGGAAGATTAATTTTAAAGTTAATTTGAGAATACAATAGGTATCAAGAAGGGATAAAGACGGGGTGAACACAGAGCTGGTGTGGGTAATGCGGATATGGGTACCATTTGCGGTAAGGATAGAAGTAGGGATGAGGTAGTGGATGCAGAGGTTATAAGGTTTATATCATAGGTCATATGGTTACTACAGACAAAATCAAATACCAAAAAGGGTTACCTGATGTAGTAGACATGGCGGTATTGGAAGAGATAATCTGTTTAAGAAGAGCTTCCAAGTCCTGAATTGTAGGAGGCGCAAACACAAGCATGGAAAAGGCTGTGGGGAATAAGGTACTAGACTGAGAAGGTCTACGAGTATGCCGAGGATTGGAATTACTGCCACCAGAGCGAGGCGGCCTAGTAGAGCAATATTGTATGTTATGGCCTAAAACATGACAATAATGGCACTCCACCTTAGGGCAGTGACCGAAGTCATGATTAGATGACTGACATGGCTTGCAAAGTTGGCGACTCTGAGTAGGATTCTGGGTGGTGACCAAAATAGTAGAATCAAGCGGAGGAATCTTGGCTAGGTGAAGACAAGTTTCTTCAAAGAGAATTTCCTGAATAGCCGCATCCAATGTAGGAAGCGGTGCCAATGTAACAAGGAGTCACGAATTGCCTCATACTCTGGATGAAGAGCCATCAAAATTTGAATGAAGCGAAGATGATCAGGATTGATCTTAATTTGATCCAACCGAAGCCTAATCGAATGCGGAATAAGGAAAATAACATGATCATGGAATAATGCTTAGATAAAAAAACTAAATGTACCATCGGGGAGAAAATCAAATTCCAAGCACGCCGGTGCGAAAATCTCCGGTAACCGCCGCCGCACACGCCGTCACATGCCAGTGAGAAGTCCGATGGTCGGATTTTCGTGGGGCGCATGAGCCATCCATGCACCGCCATTCGCCATGATTTTTTTAGTTCCCTCCGATCTCGTGATGGCACACCAGGTGGTAGTGGCAATTTCGATCAAAAACATTCAGAAGGTAAGGAAACAGACGGGTAATGTGTTTGCATTATACAGGCAGAAATTGGAAGTCTAATACCATATTAGAAGAAGTAGATGACCGTCTCACCTAAAAGCTTAAGCTTTTAGGGATATACATCATTTATTTATTTATCTACAAACGTAAATCAACCAACACGCCCCCTCACGAGCAAGGGGGATAAACGCGACCAAATTAAACTTGCCCGTGGACGATGATATATAGAGGACGGTGAGACTCGAACTCGAGACCTAAGGTTCTAATACCATATTAGAATAATTTCTATAAATTGAATTTTCTCAAAAATAATAATTGGAGTACATCGTCATATGTATACATCTGGTTATGGGCCGGGCTATATACATAAACTTTAATATATATATATATATACAAATATATATAAACAACAAATTTTACATGATGTTTTAGACAGACAGAAAAGAAATATTGCAATGTGTTTGGGAGGGAGAGAGAATATAATATTAATTATAAATACATACATAAATAAAAAACCAACCCTCCTAAACCCACCTCCGTCACCTCAATGTATAGGCATTTCTTTTAATATGCGATTTTTGTATTTAGCAACGCCGTTTGATTGAGGTGAGTAAGGTGGAGTTACTTCGTAAATTATTCCATTTTGTGCACAAAAATCACCAATTGGAGTTTTATATTTTTCACCTATGTCACTTCGAATTCGTTTAATCCGTTTGTTAAGTTGGTTTTCCACTTCATCTTTCACTACAAGAAAATATCATTTTTGTAACGAGATTTTTTCGTCTTTAAATTTACTTTTTCCGTTACTAATGATATTTGGGACGGAATTAATGATGGAATTACGTTAGCTACGTGATCTTTAGTGACGGAATTCCGTTAAAAATATACTATTTTTTAGTAGTGTTTGTACAAAACGAATTTACTTAATGCCTCGTCTTTGCTCTTAAGCAAGTAAACATAACAGTATTTTGTACAATCGTCAATAAATGTAATAAAATATTTATTACCATCGCGCATTTGTATAATTTTCAGATCGCATACATCACTATGAATCAATTTGAGTGGTTTAGTTTCACGATGTATAGTTTGGAAAGATGATCGAATTTTGGAATGTGGTTCAGGTTAGTTAATCGACGAAATCGACTATGCCATAAAGTAGAGGACTCAACAATATAAGCAACAGACTTATTATTATTATTATTATTATTATTATTATTATTATTATTATTATTATTATTATTATTATTATTATTATTATTATTTTCAATTACAGTCATAATACAATATTTGAGAAGTTCATCCTCCACATAACCTTTATCCATATACACTTCTAATTTACGCAAAACAAAATTATCACCATTCATAAGAATATTAACGCCGTGTTTCATCAGAAACGTCCCCGAGACCAGGTTCTTCGTTATCGCTGGCACGTACAGGACATTGATCAGCTTCACAACTCTTCCAAACGTCATTTTCAGAAGCACATTTCCTTTTTCCTTGACTTTAGCAGGAGCAACATTTCTCATGTACATCGTCTCATCATTCTTCGCCCGACTTTATTTAAGACCCTACTACCATTATCAGGCCCATTGGATTATACATCAATCCAATTTATAAGATCATTCTCAAGAAACCCTATACATTGGTTTTTTCTTACTCAACAACTTGCCTCCTCCGGCCTGACTCCTAAGCGTCACTTCTCGTGACGTTTAGGAGTTTGCAGTACAGTGCTATCATTACACTGTTTCATGTCACATCATGGGGTTTATGTAAAACCCTTCTCTCACCCTTCCATATGTACGCACTCAAAATCTTGAAATTCTCCTTTTTATAGGATAACCCCGGGCCTCCATCGGCTGTCCCTCAACCGACCCCCGAGGCCACGTCAGCCTCAGATCCGACCTCCATCATCCGAGGCCACGTCAGCCTCTGATCCGACCTCTATCATCCGAGGCCACGTCAGCCTCTGATCC